ACAGAGCTGAGGTTTACTTTCATTTCATTGGAGGCCAGAAGCAAGCACGTTGAAGCCCTGTGGTCTGGCATGGCTGCAAAGGGTCTCCAGTCCGTGACTCTGGAGGGCGCCGTCACACTGAAGGCGTACTCCAAGTCTCGACCTGCTCCCGGCAAGGGCTTCCAGTCACTCCATCGCTTATGTTTCCTGAGCACCTACTATGTGCTGACACTCTTTCAGACTCTAGGACTATAGGAATGAACAAGACTCACTGCGTCCCCATTCTTGGGGGACTTACAGCTCAATCAAGAGGGGGGCGGGGAAATATAATCATTTCAGGGGGCGATGGGACCACAACGAAAACAAATCAGTGATGCCGTTGGGAGTCAGGTGGGAGTTCCTTGAAACTGGGCAGTCAGGTGAAAATGGGGGTGCTCAGGCCTCATGGACAAGAAAGAGAGCCAGCCATGAAAAGATCGGCATAAAAGTAGTCCAGGCTGGAGAACAGCAAGTGCAAAAGCCCGGAGGTAGGAATATGATTGGTAGATTCTTAAGTCAGGAAGAAAGTCAGTGTGGCTGGGGTAGAATGAATGGGGGCGAGGGGGCTTTGAAATAGGATCAGAGAAGTAATCTAGGGCCAGGTAATTTAACCTCTTGCATGTCCTGACACATGGAGGAGCACTGGAGGCTGTTGAGCTGAGGAGTAACTTGATCTGCTCTAGACTTTAAAAGCATCACCCTGTTGGGAGTCATGGACCAGGGATGAGGGAGTCAGAGCAGAATCAGAAGGTGTTTGTAGCCGGCCTCGCCATGACCCCTGGAGCTCACAGTCTCAGAGCCCCAATGGACTCAGCCTCTTCTCTGATGGTTCTTTCGCCTGCTTGCTTTGACTGCAACCTAGGCTTCGCCCCTGAGGACACGGCTTCCCAAGCAAGACACATCCTGCTGGTGTCTTTCCTGCTTCTCTGGACCAATCGTCTTCCCTCTTTTCAAACCCTCCTCTGTCTGGAAGCTCAGGCCCCCAGACTAAGTTACCCAACAATCCTCCTGGCTGTCCTTATCTCCAGAACTCCCCATCACTTGAATATGGAGCTGTTCCCTTTATCCAACACGGTTTCCTCATCACCCTTGGTGATGTTGATTTCCACAGAGATGACTGGTCAACCTAAGACTCTTACCCCTCAATCTCTTGACCTTCTCTCGACCAATGATTCTGTCCTCCGTCCTACTTCAGTGACATCATCAAACCCTAGCCCTGTCATTACCCCAAACTCCACTCCTTGAATGACCTGAATTTCAACCACTACCGTCTGCCTTGCCAGTTCCCCAATTTTAACAATTCTTGAGCCGAATGGACACCACAAACGCATGATTCTACCATCTTTTCACACCCTCACTCTCTGTGTCTCTACTTCTCTCCTTCTCCAGTCGAGAGCCCAGGGTCCAGGATGAAAATGAACATGAAAGTCAAGCACGGCGTACACATCAGCGCCCTGGCCTCTTTCTCCCCTGATGATGCATTTCCTGACAGAGCTCCCCACCCCCCCTAAAACAGCTGTCGTTGAGTTGATTTCAACTCATGGAAACCCCAAGTATGTCAGAGTAGAAATGTGCTTCATAGGGGTTTCCTTTTCGGTGGCTGATTTTGTGTAAGTCGCACTTACCAGGCCTTTCTCCCATTGTGCCTGTGGGTATGCTCAAACTTCCGTTTCGTTAGTCGTTGAGTGTGTTAATCCTTTGTACCATCATCCAGAGACTCCGGCAAAGCTTCAGCACGGATTCAATCCAACTCTCCTCTCCCCCCTCTGCCCAAACCAACAGAGCTGAGCATGGCTCAAGAGAAGCAAAAGCCTACTTACTGTTCTCATTTCAAAGGCAAGACCATCCACCTCGAGTGGTCCCGAAGGCTGCCTGGCAACCACTCTTCACTGCCTTAATTGGTTCTCTCTCCCCCTCTCCTCTCTCATACTTCTCTCTTCTCTTTTAAATTTCTCATGCTTCCTCCCCGCTTCACTCCTTGTGTCTTACATCACTGAGAAACTCCTCAGCAATGTGAAGAGGCCCGGCATCCCTGGCCTGTATTCTTCACCATCGCCACCTTCCTCGCCCTCCATTACTTAGAAGGAGCTGTCCATGCTCCTGTCCGAGGCTGCCCTCCCCACTGGCACGCCAGCTCATACCCTCTCCCCCGCTGAAAGACAACACTTCACAACACTGTCCCCGGGGCATCACTTTCCCTGCTCGACCAGAACCTTTCCAACAGCACAAAAACACCTAGTCATTTCACGCATCTTGAAAAAACATCAAAACTCTGTATTCCGCTTTCTCCTCCAGCATCTGCCCCAGGTTTCTGCTATCTTTCTCAGCAACGCTCCTCTAATGTATTGTCTCTACTCGTTGTCTTCTTTTTCCATATCCAAAACCCATTCTCTTCCTCCCTTGCTTGACCTCGTAGCAGCCAGCACCTGTCATAGAGGATCACTCCCTCCTCCTTTCTGCCTTGGCTTCCAGTTTTTCCTCTTCCATTTCTCCATGCTCCCTCTGCATTTTCATTTCCTCTTTATTTCCCTGACCCCTACCACTGCAGCACTTCAATGTTCCGTTCTCAATCTTCTTCTGAGTCTGTCTAGTCTTAGGACTAGATATGGTTGCTTGTCTTAAGTCTTCTCTTCTCAATTTGCCCAGCCTGAAGACACACAACCATGTCTAGTCTTAAGACTTCCTTAAGTTCCATCTAAATAGTGTCCTGCCACCCCTGCTGTGTAGGTTTCAGTAGAGCTTCCAGACTAAGACATACTGGGGGGGGTGGGAGGGCGATGACCTGGTGATCTACTCCCACATATTAGCCAATAAAAAGTCTACACATCACAAGAGAACCATGCAGTGGTACAGAGCTGGAAGGTGAGTGCATTAGGTTAGAAAGCATTGCTCAATGGCTGGAGTGGACAATGAACTAAAATATGCCCATGATGGTGAAGGGGGTGAAAATCGATGTGACTTTTCACTGTGTTTTACATACAGTTACCATAAGAGCGGATCTGATGTCAATGAACAGAAACAGTAAATATGGCCAACTCCCAATTCATATCACCAGCCTGGACAATACCCGTGAACCCTAGACTTCGGCTGACTGATACAGTAGCTATTAGCCACATGTGTCTATTTAACCCTGGTGGCATAGTGGTTGTGAGTTGGACAGCTAGCTACAAGGTTAGCAGTTCAAAAACACTAGCTGCTACTCGGGAGAAAGGTAAGGCTCTGTACTCCCACACAGTGTTACAGCTTCGGAAACCCACTGGGGCCGTTCTACCCAGTCCTACAGGGTCATTAAGAGTCGGAATTGACATGATGGCAGTGAACTTGGAGGTTTGGGTATTAGAATCAACTCAATGGTGATGGCTACCAAGGAGCCCTGGTGATCCAATGGGTAAGTAAGTGCTTGACTGCTAGCTGAAGCGTGAGTTGCTTTAATTTACCAGTGATCTCATTGGCGGAAAGGGACCTGATCATCAGCTCTTACACAGAGTACAGCCTCGGAACCCTCCTGGGGGCAATTCTACTCGGTCCTGTAGGGTCACTATGAGTTGGAATTGATTCAACAGCATACAGCAACGACCACTGTCCACCCCCACCTCCACCAACACCCCCACCAGTCGCACCGCACCCTCAGTACCAGCACCATTATCACCACCACCGCTGCTGCCACCATCAGTCCCACTGAGGCTGAATCCGCTCCTGCGTGCAGCACCCCACAAAGAGACAGGGGCCTACGTAAACGGAGGGGGTCCGAAAGATTAGGGCAAAACCGCTTAGCGGGTGTGGACCGATAAAGCATTTCCCACAATTCATTAATTTCTCAAACTCTAGTCTTGGGCAAGCGACGAGAACGTTCCTGCCCAATTACAATTATTCATGAGAACGCTGCTGGCCCGCTGCTTTGTCTGCCAGTGACTCTGACGGAGACGCCCGGTAAGGAAGCGCAGCAAAAGGCAAGCGCAATTATGCGTCTTGCTGCCTCTTCGATTCTGACTTCCTCCATGAACTCTTAATTAATTCCATCCCCATATTTTCAGTTTATTTCCCGAGCCTCTTGGTTCTAGTGCATTTCCCTCTCTGCCTGTGTGGTACTGCCCGGCCCCCTCGGCAAACCTCTTCCTGGGTCTGCTTGCCAGCCCTAAACTGCCCCATCTTCAGCCTTCCGCTTCTCGGCACCAGCTCTGCTCTTTCTTATCCTTTGTCACCTTTAGAAACTGAAAGGGCCAAACTGACAGACACCGTTATGTTATTTCCACCCCCCACCTCCACCCCTCCCTTCCCTGCCTGAGCTGCAGCTCTCTCCTCCTCGCCTCTATAGCAAGAGCTGGAGTACTGGGTTGCCATGGCAACAGTGAATCCAACCAGCCCGGTCCCAGCGATGCTTAGGAACTGCTATGGCTAGGAAGCCGATACAAGTCGCCCCTGAGCCTAGATCGGTCGTGAGCATCGTAATTCAAGACCAGGGTGGGCAGCTTCTGCCCGGAGACCAAGAGTATACATCAGGCCCACAGCTGTACCGCCCATAAAGAGACAACGCCATCAATAACAAGGCTTCCATGGAGCCAACGGCGTACATGACAGTATGAGGATTCATTTGAAAATCTTCTAACATCCCTATTCTTTTATCTTCTCTGAGGGAGAACCTTTCCACCTCTCTCTCTCTCTCTCTCTCTCTCTCTCGCTTTCTTTCATGTCTTAGGGAGCTCGGGAAAGTAAAACCAAAACATGTCACATGCCCCCTCCCCTAGTCAGTCCCTGCCAGTCGCAGACTGGGTCACCTGGAGCGGCCCAGGTCAGCCTAGTGGTGGAACCGACCAGGCTGTGGACATCTTTGGGCAGTGAGCAGGATTACACCAAGATACTGGAGTTGGTCAAGAGATCGGTTCCCCTGGGTCGCTGCAACGGGTTGTTAAGCAGGGCAACAAGTGTCCCGTGCGTGAGGCTGTTGAAAACGTGAGCTGATGAGAAAAGGGTTCAGGAAATACCTTTGTAGCGAGTGACACCAACCGCAGTGAGGGTCTGCTGCCTTCAAACACGCCGCACAGGTGTTCTGTTTACTGCAGTTCGCCACGCGAATTCTCCGGACCTAAAAGTAAACACGGCAGCCACTCAGGTGGATTTATAAGCAACACCGGGAAAAAAAACCCGACAGCCCCGTCTGATGAAGGGCTGCAAAGGGCATCGTTCTCGTTGTTTTTCTCTTCAAACCCCCAGCCGATCCCAAGTTCTGGGGTCTGAAGAAGCAGCAGCTGGATCAGGAGCTTCTGAAAGTACACATTGCACAGCCTCTGCCTCTCCCACTGAGGAAGCAGGGAAGGCTGGGGGTGGGGCCTGTTTTCAAGAGCGCTCCCAGGGGGGTCTGATGAGCAATCAGATTCCTGATCTGCTAATCATTTCTCAAGGGACCTTGCAAGCAGGTCACCCATTTGTGCGTACAGAAACCGTCCACGCGTGGCCAGTGGCACCTTGGGAATGAACCTGGCGGGAGGGGTGGTACAAGAGGCTGGTCCCAGGAGTGGCAGTGTGAAGAGGGTGCATCAGACATGGAAATGAGGCGAAGCAGGAGTGAGGTCCCCTCTCTCTCTGTCATGGGCTGGCCCCATCACCTCAGTTCCTCACCCTCCTTCCACTGGAGTTCAGAAGAAAAGAAACTGGGGCCTTAGTCAAATCACTTTCCTGCCCTTAGAACTGCCCCTTCCAGTCGTCACAGAGCAGGCACCTGCTGGGCGGACCTGGACAGGTGAGGCATTCAGTGAGTCGGACAGAGCCTCCAAGCAGGGCGATGGGAGATGTCTGAGCATCACAAGCAAACGCATGCAGCAGGTTGTAAGGACACTTGTGGAACTCGTGATGCCAAGAAGCTGTCCACATTAAACCGGATAAGTGGCTTCTTTAAAAGTTCAAGAAAATGGACATTTCTAGAAAGAGTTTTGTAGGGAAGAGTTTAGGATGTCCTGAGGGCATCCTTCAAGTCTAAGTTGGCTTCATGGAGGATGGGGATGCCCTTCTGTTTGTCAGCCCTTGGTGCTCGGACAGATGCTCTGAGCAGACAATGAGTCTGAGCCAGAATTAACCAGAACATGGACAGTGTCTTGCGGGTCACCAAACCCCCTTTAAATTGGGGGCAATTTAAGTGAGTGTCACATAAGCTCTCTAAACTTAGTTTCCTGATCTGTAAAAGGGTCATGGTAATCCTGACTGCCATCAGGGCATTGCAATCATTGTCTAGCACAGACGAGGTCCTCCAATATTGACTATGATTATAATAAGAGCCCTGGTGATGAACGTAGTGAGATAAGAGATGGGCTGCTAACCACAACGTCAGCAATTCGACACCACCAGCAGCTCCAAGGGAGAAAGATGAGGCTGTCTACTCCTGTAAAGATTTACAGTCTCAACCCCCCACAGGGAGGTTCTGCTCTGTCCCATAGCCTCATTCATTCTGGACCAGAATTGACTTGGTGGCGGTGCGTGAGTGACGGAGATGCGAAGATCAGGCTCCAGGGTTCAATAAGCGTGGGAAACCTTAGGCTGACAAGCTGACGCGGTTTCCTTAGCACAAGACCCTGGGAGAGCTAGAATATGCTGAAGCACCAGGATGTGAGGAGAGTAACATCTGGTCCGAGGACCACACTGGCTCAGAACATCTAGCGCCATATGAGTCTCCAGGACATTCTTTGAGAATTATTACTCGGTGCATTTCAATCTGCAAGCACAGCGCTTCATGTAAAGGAGCAGACATAATAAATAGTACCCTGGGACACGCTTCTCTCTCCTAAGAACACGCTGTTCCACATTAACTCATATATCTCCACACGGTGAGTTTCACTGGGCACGTCCTTGTAGCACTCTAAGGATGGTCTATGGATTAGTTTGGCTGTCACTCCATCCCAAGAGTTTTGGAAAGGATACTCCTTAGGTATTACTGCCTCTCTGGGGATTACACTGGCTATGAATCTAGGGACAACCGGAGTCTTACTAATAGGATTTCACAGTAATCCTAAATACAGAATATAGCTATGACCAACGTTGATGCCCAGTCTGCACCTCTCCTCAAGACTTTCAGCTTTGAAAGCTAGGGACCAGAACCTTTTACCCCCAGTAAATGAGACCCGCCAATACCAGTGTCTTGCACAGTGGTTCCCTGTCCAGGGACCTGAGTTCTGGGTTCCGGGGGTGGGGTCCGTACAAGCAGTAATGAAGACCCATGAGTTATGTGCAATATTTCAAAAAGTCACATGGAAAACACACCGATGAAGCCAGGCTTTCCAGCTTCCTGGCTGGAATGATACCAGCTCTCTGAGGCAGCACAGTCGGTACTCGGCCTGGCAGCTCAGAGATGTGCTTGGATACAGAAAGCCTGCGCAAGGGAACTGTGACTTAATATATCATTTGTTCGGTACACAAAAATCTTTCGAAGATGGGATTGCTGGGGGATGCAGGTAATAAGAAGTGTTGACGCAGTTAACATGAACGGGGCAGGAAGAATTTGTAAGGGGAGGAGTGGGTTTACAAAGGTATCTAACATGCAGATGTTGCCATCTCAATGTGGCCATCTAGTTAGTAACCGGCTGGACAATGCACAGAGGGCCAACGATAGAATAAGGCCATGTAGAACGCTCGGAGGCTTCGGAATGTTGGCCCACCTACTCTGTACCCCAAATGCACCGGGAACAGACTGATGTCATCATATTCTCCAGAGATTGAGTGAAGAAAAAAAAAAAAAAAAGAACAAACAAAATGGGCGTGAACTGAGGGCCTTAGTTGCATCCATGGTATCCAAGTTTATTGACATATAATTCATGTAATACACAATTCAACGCTTTAAAATGTTTTAAAAGAGTGGTGCATTCAACGCCACAATCGGTTTTAGAACATTGTCTGCACTCTTGAAGCCATTATTATTCTCTCCCTGCCATAACCCTAAGGAAGTATTAATCCAGCTGCCGTCTCTCTAGATTTATACAAAGAAAGCCATACCAAAACAAAAAAACCCAAGAATGGCAACAACATAAAACACAGAAAAGTTCAATCCAAGAGAAAGTCGAGGATAATAGAAACTAGAACAAATGAAAAATAGGTCAAAAAGGCCAACAAATGGCAATAGGCTACATTGAACCTAACAATGTCTGTGGTGATCCACTTTCCACTGCACTCGTCTGAGGGCAGGATTATTCACATCCCTAAGTATGGGCTGCGGGACTTCAGTGCAGCCTTATACTCTGTGTGGGGCCTTCTGGGTGGGGAAGTGACAAGTGGATTTTGCGCTTTCACTCCTACTTAGCCTTTTGCAAACGGGGTGCTCAGAAGTTATGCTCTAATATAATTGCCTTCTCTGATCGTGGATTTTATTATTTACAATCCTTGGTTCACATGGGCTGGTTTGTTCCTTTCCTGTGAACTGAGCCAATACCTCATTTAGATAGCTGTCTGTTTTAAGACAAGCTCCTAAGACCCCAGACTCTATTCTTTCTGACAGGCAAGCACCATCTGACTTTTCTGTCCCTCGCTGCGATAGCACCCATATAGTCAGTGATCACTTCATGGGGAGCAAGCACTGGGGGGGACCACCTTGTAAGAGTTCATTATTCTTTGATTAGGGCTTACGGTTAAGTATGATATGAGCTCAAATATTATATGAGTCTTGATTATACTTATTGCACTTCATGTTTTCAAATATCCTTGGGGCAAAACCACATGCCACAATAGTCTGTTAGTTTTGACAATTTTGAGATTTGATCTCAGTTAGCAGGGCAGAGATCTGGCAAGGTCTACCTCGTGTACAGCCTATTCTCCAGCTATTTGTAGTAGCTGTGCTTTGTAAAGCCTCCGTGGACACCAGATTAGCAAACATTGAACCATTGCTGCTAGGGAAACATGGGGTGGGTCTCTGTGAGCCTCTGGTCACAGTGTTTCCATAACCCAGTCAAAGCATAACCTGGTTTGCTGTGTGTCTCTGTTTAAAGAGACCGCATTCAATATACATTGTTGATTCATTAACACTGGACTAAAGGCCAACAGCACCCACTATATGTCGTGCCAGAATGAAGTTTAACATCTGCCCTACATATTTTCCCTGTGGAGAATATCACAGCCTTCTTGCACAGGGGGACACTGGATGGCATTCAGCACTATGTTCAGGTCATGGGCCATTTTAACCAGCATAATCACAAGCCAAAATCACAGAAATGCAAAAAACACAGCACTGACTGGACCACAAAAGGAAATTCATGTATGGTTAGAGAGCTAAAACAAGAAGGCAGAGTCCCTTTATTTGACCTCAGCTGTGAACGTGTGTGGCATCGGCAACCTAAAATTTGGGGCCCCTTTGTGCGTGTGTATGTTTGCAAATGACCGCCAAACCCCTGGAGTGTTGATATTTTGGGGTTGCAGAGAAATTTTAGCGAGTGGGCAGGTTAGCAAATACGAAATCTGAAAATAATGAGGATTATCTGGATACCCTTGAATAAGTTATTTAACCTCTCCAAGCCTAGATTCTTCATCTATAAAACAAGAGTAACTTCCCTCCATTAAATTATTAATATATTTCATTAACATTGCTTATTATACTTTTACATGTATATGTATTCAGACACTATGCATCTAGGAAAAGATGCTCAGAACAGTGACTAGTATCTAATCAGTAGGGGGTCAGTCAAAATGAGTTTCCTTCGCCCTTGTTGGTGAAAAGCACATGGCAGAGATGAACAAAATGTAAAAAGGTTGCTTTTTGATTTCAGGAAGCAGAAACAAGAAGGAAAACCAAAACAGCTGGATAAATTAAGAGGGGGAGGCACGGACCACCTATATCCTGGTTCATGAATGTGTATGAGATGGTGGCCTGATATTAACCCCAAATTCCAAACCCAGTCCCAGTGGGTCTATTCGTAAATGCATCTAACCGCTCAGTGCTCACACAATAAATGTGGAGATTCAGTTACCTTGCTGATTATGCACCCATTTGCAAGCACACCCACCTCTGAAAAACTTGGCACTGGAAATATAGCCAATAATAAAATTGTCTAAATAGGCAATATTTCTTGCTTACTTACTGACAGTACGGTTTTTAATTCCATGCCCGTGGCTCTCCTGAAAGCCTGCAGCAGTGTTTAAACTTGGTAGTTCAAAGTAAAAGCTCCACTACTAGATAATAACATCAATTAAACCATTTTTATTCATAAGTCAGAAGCAATGACTAGTGTTTCCACCTACCTCTTTCCCAGCTGTTAGATAGATGTAGCTGCGATCCACTGGGTGAGGCACAAGTTTGTAGAAGACAGGGGTTTCTTCTTTAATTTCGTAGATCACCTCTGGACAATTTGAAGTCAAATTCTCATCAAGAATAACCTGTTTGTTTGTTGGGTTTGGTGTTCAAAACGAGAAAATAAGATTTTCATTAAGTACTCTGAGTAGCTGGCAGGATGGCAAAAGGTGTAGCTTCGCTTTAAAACCACATCCTCTCTTACACCTTACATACATCGGCTCAGGGACCGTCTTCCTTATTCATCCTCATGGGGCCTCAAAGAGGCTGCTAATAACAAGGACAGTATTTCTGCTTTGGGAGGGGTAGTCACACACACACACACACACACACACACAATCACTCTTCAAACGCTGAAGCAGTAGTCTCACCTATGGGTCATGGTCAACACTTTCAGCCTACCTCTGGCTCGACCAGAAGCCACGGTGGCTGTTTCATTAGTACAAAGTCAAGTTGACACGTGTCATCCAGTTGGTCTGACTCCTCGCAACTCTGCGTCCAACAGAACAAAACGCGGCCTGCCCCTGTGCCGCCCTCAGAATTGTTGCTGGGCTTGAGCCCATGGCGGCCACTGTGTCCATCCATCTGGCCGAGAGCCTTCTTTCTGGCACCCCTCCATGTGACCCAGCATAACGTCCTTCTCCGGGGACTGGTTTCCACTGATAACATGTCCTACAGATGTGAGCTGCAGTACCACCATCCTTGCCTCTAAGGAGCATTCTGGATGAACATCTTCTTCCAAGGCAGATCTGTGTGTTCTTTTGGCAGTCCAGGACACTTTCAGTACTCTTCGCCAGCACCGTAGTTCAAATAGATTCTTCTTCAGTCTACCTATGCAATGTCCAACTTTCACATGCATAGAAGGGGATTGAAAATACTGTGGCTTGGGTCTGACATACCTTAATCCAAGAGTGACCTTCAGATTAAAGACAGTAGGCTCAATGTATGTATGTATTGCTTCCATTTTTCCTGTATGATTCTACATGATCGATGCATTTTAAAACATGCAGGCCAGTTAGCAGGGATGTACAAATGCGCTTTACACAATTGATGTGTGTATGGATTGGGATAACAGTTGTATGAGCCCCTAATAAAATGTTTAAAAAAAAAAAGAAAACATGCAGGCCAACTTGACAGGTATAAAGTATGTTCTAAAATATGAACAAGTGGGCCTTGGTGGCTTTGAAACTGGACATCCTTGAGTTTAAACAACTGTCTACTAAACACCATATTGTATCAGGCACTGTTCAAGGTATTTGGAAAATGGCAGTAATCAAAATAGGGGGGGAAATCCCTACCGATATAGAACTTACCTCCTTGGGTGTGTGTAGGGGATGGTAACAGTTATTAACTGTGTTAGTCTGGGTTGATGACAGAAACACATTCATTGACACTCATGTATGTGTAAGAGAGAACATTAAATCAAGAAGGAATTATGCATCAATAAAATGTCCCAGTACAGTGCAGATCTGGTCCATAAGTCCAATATTAGCCCATAAGTCTGATATTAGCAATGGTGCTGAATGCAGGCTGGTGGGTGGAAAATTCTGTGGATCCAATGGCAGGGGATGCATCTCCAGGGCTCTGGCTGCCATCGGCGTGGCTCCGTGTGGTTTGTCAACAGGAATGTGAAGCAGATAGCCAACAAACAGTCCTTGAACTAACTACAAGCTTTTCTTTCTTGTTGTGTTGTGTTTTGTTTTGTTGTTTGTCAGTGGTTTGTTGTTGTTGTTTTATTGTATATTGTTGCTTGGTTTTGCTCTGTCTTGTTTTTGTGCATGTTATTATCTCTGCCAGTCTGTCTAAATA